AATAACAACTGATTTCTCGAACAAGTAAGGAGCTAATTCTAGGTTCTGGATATTGAGGTTATTAAGATTGTTCTTACCAACTCTAATCAACCTCGTTCGTTCTGCACTCAGCGGTAAAAATCAGTATGACGGCTGTTAGTTTATTAAATCTAACGTAGTTTGTAAATTACTGGGGAACGTGAACTTACAAATGAGTGGACTTTCCCATCAGATGTTTCTCCATCCACAATTACTCACTTTAGTTACACTTTGCTGAATCGCTAACAGTGTTCTGCATTAGTAAATTTTCAAAACGCCTTCTCACATAGATATCTCGAGAAGCCTTTAAATTTGAAGTTCTTAGTCCTCAACTGCGATGCAAACAATCCTAGAACCTATACTGCACTTGAATTCACTCAAACCTGTCAGCACAAAACGACAACAGTTGCCGCTATGACAATCCTAAACTCGACAAATGCTGACAATTCGTTGATCCTTTCAGGTGATTTCGGTGTAATGTGTGGTAACACATGGAAAAATATTTAATGCAGCTGTCGCGCCACGCACCATTGATACTTTCAAATTCACCCAAATCTCAGCAAGGTTATGAACTTACGTCCAGGAGAGAGCTTCAAACTTGAGCCTGTACCTATCACGTGGCGTCGAATTGCATCCCGGTATTTTGTGCGGGGTTCTCTACGCATTTTGCGATTCTGTCTCAATCATAGAACGTTACTAAATCATGCCTAGCAATACTTCCCCTCATTATACCTGGCGCGACAGCACAAAAAAACACGGTAATGAACAACGAGAGGATGAACAAAGCGATGAAGGTACGAAAACACGAAATAATCACACCAACAACAACACGAAATAATCATGGCAACAGGACAATCAAACAAATTAGCATGAACAACAATTAACATAATCAAATTAACATATTTCATGCCTATATATATTTCATTCCTATGTATACACAACAACAACAGCAACAGAACAAATATTTACAAATACGCGGGATTTCAATGGCTACATCCATTCGTACAATCCAAAACAAAATAACACGAATACATTCTGAAAGAATATCTTAAAAACGAAACGATCAGGCAAGCTGCAATCATTTTGGATGAACCCAAAATAAGTTTGAAGTCAAGTCTAGCTATTGATTAGTGAAGCTTGACTCAAGTTTTGTCTCCGTCTACACAATTTACGAAAGCAATCCGAGGAATGCTACCTGTCTTTCTATTCCTCAAGTTATCATCTGAATGCTCGAACGACAAAGTTTGAGAAAATCTCAATATGTTACCCGAAAACGCTACTTCAAAAACATTATTTTTATAACTTATAAATCAACTCATTCCAACCTTGAGAACACACTGCGCTAGCAACCAAGGGAAAATCCTAATCTCTGTGCACAGATCAAACCACAGTCATCCAATTCAATCCTAGCCTGTGATATAAGCTCTCGAAACTAGTCAATTATTAAAAACAGAAGCGATGACTTATCAAGTATATCTTATTAGCATTTATGACAGACAGTAACTGCACTGGCAAGGGAAATAAGGATTGCATCATAGAAGTG